CTGTAGTCTGAATCTTGTTGATTATTCACGTCACTTACCGGTCTGTAGTCTGAGCAGTAGCCAGTGATATAGTTTTGACAATATGGGTTACATATTTATCAATGTAGACATACAAGTCCAGAGTTTAAAATGAAAAGCCGGTTACAAGGTCGAGTTCTTTATAATTGCTATAAGGTGATGGGCCAGTCGAGTAACAGTTACCTAGTGAATACCTATGTATGAGTCATGCTTCACACTTTTATTGATTTTGTAGGACTTATTGTGGTTTGTTTGTTTTGATTCACTTATGCCGTAATAGTGTTTCTGATGATAGTAACAATGCTCCGCTTTAAAACGGTGTCGTTGACTAAGGTTACTGCATCCAGATTCCATAACATTGTTTTATGACCTGTTGCTCTTCCATCACCCTGGTTGGCGCTGGGTCTGCAACAATGTTTTCCTAATAAGAGACAGTGCGGCTCATGAATGTGTTTTTATTTGTTTCAATTATGTTTTTAGCAGTAAGCATTGAACATTTGGGGAATGTTTTAGTAATGGGCATGTGCGCATATGTTAATTCTTTCTACATGCACATCACGTTTTCTATCGGTACGTGCGGTCACCTCATCATTATGTTGGTTTGTGTGGTAACTTTTATCGTCCAGTCTGTACTTTAATTTTCCATGCTTAGTTATTTCATGATGCTGCATATGTAAACTTTGCAGACCTTTTTTTCTAACATATGGACCATATTCTAAATCTGCATCTTCCCAAGTTCCACATTTCAGCTCCGTGTGCATATTTGCTTTGTTATATGAAAAGCCTTCACTTACAAAAAATGGTTTATTGGGGAAATGCTAAACCTAGCTAGCTTTTTCACCTTGAGATATATACTGTTAAATATATGCATTCAGATATGTATGGTATTTGGAGATGCCTTTATATTTTGGTACTTCCTCATTGGTCAAATATATTCCTTCAGTTAACTTTAAATGTATCTTCAGTACCTGTGACTTGAGGCAGCAACCGTCTGTTCGCATATTGCCATTGTTCAATATTTTGTCATAGTTAAAATTTAGAAATTCATTTATGTTCATACCATTTCAGTATCTTATTTTGGCTTGTCTTGTACATTGTCTTTATAAGCTTCTATGGTGATGCTCTTAAGATTGATGCTAAGAGTCATATGATGTCAGCATCTAATTTCATCTGAATATTCATAGATAATGCTGGATACAGTGGGTCCAGAAATTCAGGTTCACAATTCAACTGGTGGAGCAATCGAGTTGATAGGGGGGAATCATGTCACAATAACACCAGATCTTTCTAAAGCTCCTTCGGCTGATATCCTACCAATTAAATTTGGCGATCTTGCAAAAGTAAGTGAATAATAAAAATAATAATTAGGATATGAAGTATTATAATGCATTATTTGAATCATGTTTATCTGTATGCATTTATAGGTCGCTAGGTTCCTTTTTGCTCTGTGCAACCACCACTTACATGTTGGCATTAAAGTAAAATTAATAGATTTTACGCAACAAACAAAATCTATTTGACTTCTCTATTGTGCTGGGGAAACTACTTGGTTGTAATTTTTTTGCTATTTCTGAAGTTCACAATTTGGAATATTGCATATTTAACTTTGTTTTCATTCCTTGAGTTCAGGTTGTGAAGAAGGGTGATACTCTTTTCATTGGTCAATATCTTTTCACAGGAAGTGAAACAACATCTCTATGGCTTGAAGTACGTAAATTCTTAGATTCTACTCATATATGTGACATTTTCCAATATTGACATGTCCTTATATACTATAATCTACAGGTTACGGAGACTTCTGGTGCAGAAGTGATTTGTTATGTGAAGAACACAGCTACACTGTCGGGGCCCATTTTCACTCTACATGTTTCACAAGTACATATCAGTATGCCCACTTTGAGTGAATATGATAAACAGGTAATGTGCACTACTTTTGAGTTTCTGTACAACACTACTCAGATATACACTCTCATAAATCTATCGCAATGTTTTCCTGTACAAAATATTTCGACTAGCTACTTTTTGTAGTAATATAAGGTCCCCAACTATGTTTTTTGTTTGTTTTTATCTGTTAAAGTTTTTTTCTTACCAACATTTAATGGTATAAAGCTATGACTTGTTCAGTGGAAGAGACCACTCACGAGTCACGCATTACAAGTTAAAACGCTGCACAAACCAAACAATCTGTTCTGATCCCATGTTGGATAAAATCGTAAATACAATGGCAACTTGCTTCTTTCTGGCTATTGTTGATCTTTAGTTGCGGTTGAGGATTTGTTAAATAACTTGGTTGAGGATTTGTTAAACAACGTTCTTTAGAAGTTCAACTTGCTTCCTCTTTTGTCTCTTTTACTTGCCGTCCTTGAATGTGTGCAATCAGCCCTCTAAAACTTTGACAACCAATGTCTACACAAATATTTAAACACATCACAAAAACTCAATGCCATCATTTTTTAATCATATTTTGATAAAATAGAACAAGTGTTAAAAGGTACTCCCGCTGTTCACTATTATAAGATATTCTAACTTTGTTCTAAATCGGATGTATGTAGACATGTTTAAGTGTGTTTGTTAACTCATTTCAATCCGTATGTAGTCCATATTAAAATATCCAAAACATCTTATAATTGTGAACGGAGGGAGTATCTATTAGTCTGTTGGATGCTCTGTCCAAGTCCAAAACAAGTAAAAGAAAAAAAGGGCAACCTGGTGCATGTAGCTCCCGCTTGCGCAGGGTCCAGGGAAGGGTCCGACCACTTTGGGTCTATAGTACGCAGCCTTTCCCTACATTTCTGTAAGAGGCTGTTTCCAGAACTTGAACCCATGACCTCATGGTCACAAGGCAGCAGCTTTACCACTGCGCCAAGGCTCCCAAAACAAGTAAAAGAAAATAGAGGAAATAGTTTATTTCAAGATTGCTTGCACGTAAAATACATATTTGTCGATGCTGTTTTATAAATTCACATCTTCCCGGTCATCCTAAGCACCTTTTTTTTTCCTACAATAGGTCATATCAACATGGGGGCTGCAAAACAGTGTTGACATTATATCGCTTTCCCATACCCGCTCTTCTGAGGATGTCAGGGAGGTGAGTTTTCTTTTCTGAATCATCCACTCTTGCACCTGAATCATACATATAGTTATTCACACACCTGCTTCTTGATTTCCTTTCCATGGTTTTTGTAATACCTTGTTTAGAGGCTTTTCATGCTCTTATGTGCACTCAACAGCAATTAGATTCTTAGAAGCTTAGTGATGCAAATTGCCAGTCAATTGAGTAGATGGGATTTCATGAATGAGCTCTTGTATGTATCTACAGTTTAGACTTCAAATATGAATCAATTGCCAGTCAATTGAATAGAAGCTTAGTTAGCTGGGGGAACACTGCTGATCCTCAAATATATTTTTTGTGCAGCTTAGAGCCTTTTTAAAATCTCATGATCTTCAAGACACACAGATATATGCGAAGGTTGAAAATGCTGAGGTAACTATTGTTTTTATGATGATACTGTTCTGTTTGTTTCACTGTTATATTATGATTAATTTCATCGTGCAGTATTTTCTTTCTTTCTAGGGTTTGGAACATTTTGATGAAATTCTCCAAGAGGCAGATGGTATCATCATATCGCGAGGAGACCTGGGAATTGACCTCCCACCAGAGAGGGTAAATTTTGGTCTTCCTCAAAATACCCAAATTTTGCACCTTGTAAACCCTAAGTGTTCTCAGCTATGTGTCTAATCATTTCCACTCACGGTGGTGTGTTGCCTTGAAATGATAGTACTAGTTATCATTTTTGACACTATGACGCTATTACATTTTGGGACGGAGGGAGTAGTGCAGAAATGTCTGTACAAGAATATCTTTGTTCTTATGGTGCAAAAGTTACCATTTATGTTCTTATCAGTTTAAAGTTAAAACTAACTCATCTAGCTGTTTTAGGCAGCAGATACTTTAATATCAGTGGATTCCTTAATTGTTGCTTCATTTCATAACCTACAGTTTTGGCTCTTCAGGTGTTCATGTCCCAAAAGACTGGTATTCATAAATGCAACATGGCCGGCAAACCTGTGATCATTACTAGGGTTGTGGACAGCATGATTGACAATCTGCGCCCTACTCGCGCAGAAGCTACTGATGTTGCAAATGCTGTCCTAGATGGTCTGTAAACCTGCACTGTTCTTAGAACTAGTCATATTTGTAGGTACTTATTTCGTATACTGCTCTCATTGCAGGAACTGATGGCATTTTGCTCGGTGCGGAGACACTTCGAGGGCAGTATCCTGTTGATGCTGTGCGTACTGTGGGCAGAATATGTGCAGAAGTACGTTCCTACCTCATTCAATAATAACTTGTGAAATAATATTTTCTCAAATAAAGTACTCTCTAATTAATTGATGCAACTTTAGTACAACTTTGACTGCGTCAATTATTTTGGATCGGTGGGAGTAATAATAATTGTAAACTCATCTAAATTGACTGGCTGATCAATGATACCATTCTTCTAGGCTGAGACCGTGTATAACCAGTCACTTCACTTCAAGAAAGTAGTGAGGCATGTAGGTGAACCAATGGCCCATGAAGAATCTGTGGCATCATCAGCGGTAAATACATCTAAATCATTAAGCAGGACATATTCTATTGTTATAGAACATTAATAGCAATCTTTTGTGTACATATAGGTTCGTTCTGCAATGAAAGTAAAAGCTGCTGCAATTGTTGTGTTCACCTTCTCGGGGAGAGCTGCTAGGTGCTCTATACTACACAAGATCAGCACTTGATTAGACATGTTTCTGTCATGCAAATATGCTATCATCTTTACTTGATGCATCGTCTTCTGCAGGTTAATTGCTAAATACAGGGCCCCAATGCCAGTTTTAGCAGTTGTGTTCCCACGCGAGGGCTCTGATCCATCGAAGTGGCGTTCTTATGGCACGACACAGGTAAGTAACAGGCGTATCTATCTGTATGTGTTTTTCTTTAAAGGGATCCGTAAACTTACACTTACTGACTGTTACAGGCGAGGCAATGTTTTTCTGTGAGAGGTGTCTACCCTTTGATGGGGAGTACTGACGAGGTATGTATGCACTTCTTACTTGGTGATACCAGAGCAAGTTCTGTTATTTCCAATGTTAAGCATATATGGTGGCTCAGGATGCTTTTTGTCTACGGAGCAACTATCTGAGAGTTGCATTGAACTTTCTTATTACAGCTATTAACTTTCTGAGTCCAAGCTTAATATTTTTTATCTCTTAACAGGCTGAAACTGGTGGGCTCACCAAGGAAGAATACGGGATAAAACTTGCACTGAACTATGGCCGGTCAGTCGGCATAATAAGGCCATACGACAGGGTGATTATTTTTGAAAAGATCGGTGATTCTTCTGTTGTCAAGATCATCGAGTGCGACGATTCTGAAAGATGAATGACCCTTCTCAGGCAACAGTTTCAACTATATGCCTGAGATTGCCTCCTCTTTTTGTTCTCCATTCACTTTGACCAGAGATAAAAGAGTAGTATAGCACGACAAGGTTGCCCTGTTTAGCACCTTGGTATTTTAGATTTACATACTTGTTGCCCTAATAAAGTGAAGAGAGCTTCTCATTCACTCAAACATCCAAGTTTTGGACAAAATTATAGGATTGTTGAGATAATACCTATGAGTGATTCCTAGCTTGTATTTCATGTTACATCATACGCTATATGACATATTATCTGCTATTACCTTTGCATATACTATATCATTCGTGTCTGTAGTCCAGTACTACCATACAGCATCTTTCTGTTCTATCAGTATTGCTCCTTGAAGAAGAGGGCGTAGATGATGCAGCAGATGCTGAAGATGATGATGCCGATGTCGAACGCGAGGGCTGTCATGGCCTGGTCGCTGAGCTCCATGTTCTTCCCGCCAAGGCGATCCACTGTGTCGGGCACGGGCTCGTAGTTCTGGAGGTCGAGCTCGTAGGGGTCCTCGAGGCGGGACCTGAGCTGCTGCAGCCGGCGGCTCTCGGCCTCCTGCGCCAGCGTCCAGTCGTAGAAGCGGCGGCTCTCCTCCTTGCTCAGCACCTTGTACACCTCCCGGAGCCGGATGAACTTCTCCGACGCCGACTTGAGCGGCAGCCTCGTCGTGTCCGGGTGGTACTCCTTGGACAGCCACCGGTACGCCGCCTTGATCTCCTCCAAGTCCGCGCCAGGCGATATTCCTAGGAACCTGGTTATGCCAGAGAAAATCTGGTGCTGTCAGTTTCAGGCAGATGGACAAGAGACGCAGGGTGAATTCTGTTGGTCTGAGCTCAACTGGTAGTGTGACTCGGACGGGTTGTTGATGAGGTCGGCGAATCGTCGCCCCATCGGCTCGTCCTTGCGGCCGTCGCCTTCCTTCTTAGCCTTTCCTCCCACCCACCCTTCGTCCGGGTCGGACCAGTGTATCCTCGTGTCCACCGTCTTCTTCATCCCGGGCCCTGCCGTCGACGCCGCGGCTGTAGCCTCTGGGGATGGTTCGGCGTCCGCCGTGCTTGCCGCGACGACGAACCTTGCGCGACGTCGGCTCCGTTCGTCGTGCCGATGGAGGAAGGCCGTCAAGGGGCTAGACGACGCTGTGGATGCCGCCATGAGGCGGCAGCCGTGCAGTACTTCCGAGGAATGAGCACAGGTAGAGGTTACGGAGGAGTTTTGAGGTGCGGTTGTGTTCATGCCAGTTGCGGTGGGGAGCGGATGAGGGCACCACATCGCATTCGCAATGGTTCAGATACGACGGGCTTCGGGTGTCCTGCGCCACATGTTGACACTGTTTTTTCCCCGGTAACGAGAACCAGAGGGAAGAAGAAACCAGAGAAATAAACCATGGCCTTGTGAAAATGTTAATTTGTTTCAGTTTGATACGGACCAGATGATCATTGTGAGGCGCTCGTTATTTCTCTACTTATAAATCCGCAAAAAACTAATATAAATCCACGTTGTTTTATTTGGGGATAGGGATGAACCGGCCTTCCCACGAACGAGCAAAGCTACCCTGACCGTGCAAAATAACCTCCATTTCTCACCGCCACAAACGCTCATGTTAGCTCGTCGTCCAAGAAATGGCAATGAAGCTTCGCGTATGTGTTCTGTGGGTAATGTAGACTTCCAGAGGTGGTATTTTTCGTTCTGATAAAAACATGGACACAGGTAAAAGAAAGGATACTCAAAAAGGAAAAACATGGGGACAAAGTGAAAACAAAAAATATGGAGATGCGGGGGATCGAACCCCGTGCCTCTCGCATGCAAAGCGAGCGCTCTACCATTTGAGCTACATCCCCTTTGTGTTGTGATTTCTTTGTTCGGTATGATATTGTTTTCTTCTCATAAACGCTGTAATGCCCCCACGCTACTACTGTATGTGCTGCATTACTAAAAATAAATGGAAAACGTTTAGAATCTACCGGATGATAACAGGGAAAGATAAACCAGGCGCATTGATCGACACGTTCCCAGCTGCAGCCTTTCACGTCGTCTCTCCTCCGCCCGTTATTCCCCGTCTCTGTTCGTAGAGAGGCTTCCATGGCGACGCAAAACACGACAAGTTCATGGAAGCGAACCAGAAGGCGACGGCGCCAACCACCCTGCTGCATCGCGCGGCATAATGAAGGACGGTGGAGCCACACTGCAACTCCATGGAGGCGACACACACGCATGGGGGAGGCGGTCGCTCGTCGGCACTGCCGACGATGTGATGCAACGCTCTACGACGACCGTTGGTTCGGCGACGCAGCAACTCATCCACGCACAACTCTGCGGTGCAACCTCGAGGCAACGCTGCTGGTGCTTCAAGTCCCCGGCGGCGGAGCTGCAATGGAGCGCATGCATCGCAGCATCCGCCATGGACGCCGGCGGTGCATCTCAGCTTCCGTCGTTGTCACCACGCGCTGCGTCGCAGCATCCGCCATGGCCGCCGGTGCTACATCTTAGCTTCTATCATCGTCACCATGCGTTGCGTCGGAGCTACCGACATGGCCGCCATGCTGCGTCACAGCACCCGTCGCCGCCTATGGAGCTTCACAGAGAGGGGTGGGGGGCGCCGGTGTTCCAGTGAAGCTCTGTCGAGGCTGTACAGTGGTGCACCGGAGCGTCGTCGGCGCTGCGATGGTGACCGCGGCGAGCGGCTGACGGGGGCAATGCAACTCCGGCGATGTTGCCTTGAAGCTGCACCAGAGCAACGCCGGTCCGTCGGAAGCATAGCTGGCGCTGCAATGTAGCCTCGCCGGAGTTGCAATGGAGCTTCGCTGGCTGCATTGGAGCTTCGCCGGAGCTACAATGGAGCTTCGCCGCGTCGCGCTGTGCTGCCATGGAGCTTCGTCGCTGGCCGTCGGCGCTGCCATGGAGTGCCGCATTGTAGCTTGTCGGAGAGAGAGCCCTTGCTACAAGTAGCCTGCTGCGAACTGGTCGCTCGTGGAGCATCGGTGGCAGCAGCAGGGAAGTGTTGCGATGCAGTTTGCCGTCAGAGTCGCCGGAGAGAGTGTTGATGCTACAGTCAACGCCGTCCCCGCAGATGCCGGTGCGGAAGGGAAGAGTCAGAGGCGCTGCTATTTCGTGGCATTAATTGGTGGTCAGGGTGCTGCTGTGCTACAATGGGGAGCTTGGACGTGAGAAAGGACGAGATGCTGTAGGGGAGATCGGACGGTTACGAATCTGAAAATGGACGGCATGCTAGGCGGATGATTTTTTTTTTAAAGAAATCATCCGGTAGATTTGTAGCAGCCACCAAAATAAATTCTTTGATCTCATCCGGGTATTCTAAAATTACTCCTTTTCTATACTTTTATATCTATACTACTATTAAAAGACCAAATATGACTTTCCCTACATCCACATCAGAAAGTGCACACGGGATAACCCCCATGTCCGATCAGACCCACTTGGTATCATCCAACTGTCCACGTTAGATCAACCATACTACAATCAGATCGACGGTTCACAACAAATGTTCTGCCGACAGACTCCCCCGTTCAGGATGCTACACACCCCCACGATGACAACTCCTGGGAATTAAACAACACCTCCACGATCTACGCCGCCACCACGCCATGAACCCCCGTGATCAACGCTGGTGTCTGCGACGTCCTCGACCTGGCGGACATCCTCGACCCGCCTTGCTGCCCTACCTCTCCTCGCCCCATCGCCGTCGCGGCGCCGCCTTAGCCCCTGGTGGCCGCGATGTCCTCCACCCTGGTGCACGTCCTTCCTCAACCCGCCTTGCTGCCCTACCTCTCCTCGTACCGTCGTCATCTCCACACCGCCGTCGCCCCTGGTGGCCACGACCTCCTCCACCCGGCGTGCTGCCCTACCTCCGGTGTCATCACCCCGTGTGGCCTGCAACATCTGAGGACATATGACTACTTTCTGATCTGCCAGCGCACATGTTACATCATTTGAATTAGCAAGTATAGATGATCAGTCAGAAGACAAAAGGAAATTGCTCTTTTAATCTGACAGTCTGTAATTTGTACTATGAAATTTGATACTTACATTACATCATGATCTGCATGACAAACTGAGTTGACAATATGGCATCCTCTAAGCATAGTGGGGCACATACTCCCTTTCAGGACCTGACGAACAACGGGAATTCAGGTAAATACATCTATCACGTACTCTTACCTACTTCAATCTTGTAAATCCAGAATATGTCGTTGCCTCATAGGTCAAAAAACAGATCCAAAAGAACTAAAGAGACAGAGATAAAGGGAGAGGTAAACAGGGATGCAATACTAAAAAATTAAGACAGGAGGCAAGGGATCTAAGAAAGCCACGTCTGCTATTCTAAATGGAACCAACACTCCATCTAAGCCGCCCATGGCCATGTCGCCTGGTTATTCCATTTTCTATGTTCTTTATCATACATTTCATGAATCACAAGTAAAGTCATGTTCTTTTGGACATGTTTTGACACTGTGGACATGCCCAATGCGCAGTCTACTGTCACCCAGCAACGACACACCCCAGCTGCGGAAGGTCATGTGTTCTCTTGTCAAACATAATACCTTAGTTTGTGTGTCAACAACCGACATTGTACATACAATTATGATGCAGGCATACCTCTTGATATGATAATGAGTGATCAGACTCCACTTCATGCTCCAAATTCATTAACACCGGATAGTGCCGGTTCTAACAAGGAAAATGTTCATAATATCGACTCTGACATTGAGTCCTCCCAACCGACTGTGTTACGACCGCCATTTCAAGCCTACAGATGCAGCAGTTCATATGGTACTCAATTATGGCTCATATTAACTATCATACATAATTTACACTTACACCGTACATCTGATTGACAAAACACTGTTGCTCATGTTGTCTTGTACCTAATTAACACTTATTATACAAAAGCAAAACAAGCACTCAAGAGGCAGAGGGAAAGTGCCCGATATGAGCAACATAAACAAG